TTTATAAATCCATTTAAATGAATACTCTCCAGCTTAAATATACAATATAAATGTCTTAAAAATAAATGCTTATTTCAGGAGAAATATTATTTTCAAATTTCATGACTGCTACTTTTAGAACACTTCCCAGATGTTTAAATTTCTGTGTTATGCTTAGTCCTTTCTTTTTGCTCTCTTTCACTACCTTCTGTTGGGAGATTTTGTAGTTTCCTTTCTGTGTCTGTTATCAGCGCTATGTCATCTGCATATCTTATGCTGTTAAGATTGTGGCCACCAATGATGAATCCTGGTTGGATTTCCAGTTTGCTCAGAATTGCCTTGCTGTATAGGTTGAATAAGTCTGGTGAGAATCCTTGCCTTACACCTCTTTTTATTTTTGTATATCTGCTGAACTCATTTTTTATCTGTATGCAAGTGGCTTGTTGCCAGTAGAGATTTTTGATTATTCTAATGTTTTTCTCAAATATGTCAAGGTTGCTGATCAACTCTAACAGATCTTTATGGTGTACTTTGTTGAATGCCTTTGCATAGTCTATAAAAGATAGGTGCACATTCTCCTGCCTTTATTTTGCTCTTTCTGAGAACATTCTGAGCAGAAATATTGCGTTCCTTGTTCTGGTGTCTTTAATGAACCCGCACTGTTTTTGTCCTATCTCTGACCTGATACTGTTGTGTGCTCTATTCATCAGAATATGGATGATGAGTTTTGTTATGTGACTCATTAGGCTGATTGTTCAGTGGAGTTCACATTCATTTGCACCTGGTTTCCTAGGCAGTGCTATGAAAATAGATCTGCTTAGATCTGATATATCCCTACTGTTTTAGATTTCATTTATTATTTCTGTAATCTTGCCTATGCTGAAATCATCTAAGGCTGCCAGAATCTTTATTACAAGTCTGTCTGGCTCTGCCACTTTGTTTCTGTTCATTTTGGTCAGTGCAGCTTCTACTTCAGTTTTTAGTATTTCTGGCCCATCAGTATTTCTGTGTATTGCTGTGTAAGAGATCTCCAATATATTTGTTCCAGTGCTGAAGAATTTTTTTCTTTCTTTAATATGAGTATTCCGTCCTTTGATTTTATGCAGCCTGTTGATGTGCATGTCTTGTTAGTGCCCTTATTTTTTTATGTATATCTTCTTTATTTGTGATACTTATTCTCTATTTCTGCACATTTTTCATTGAGCCATTCTTCTTTAGTCTGTCTGCATTTGTTCCTTATTTCATTATGTAGTTTTCTATATTCAGTTCCATGTCTTGGTATTGCTTTCTGTCTCCTTTGCATCATGTCAAGAATTTAATCTGTGATCCATTCATTCTTTTCTTCTTCGTCCATTCTCCTTTGGGATGATGTCATTTGCTGATGTCACTAAAGTCTCAGTGTGTCCCATTTTGAGTTTCCATTTTGTTCCTTGTATCTTCTTTTCACACTGTCTATATATTTTTCCTTCAGGTTTGGATCATTCAGGAGTCTTGTATTGCAATTTGGGTGTTGCGCTAGGCTTCTTCAGTTTTTGTAGTTTCACTCTTAGTTTTACATATAACAGGGAGATGGTCACTCCTGCAGTCTGCACTTGGATAGGTTTTTTCAATAAACAACTGCATTCCTGAATCTTTTGTTGATAGTCTATATTTCTCCTACACTTTTTCATGTCCATAATTGTCTTGGATGTTCTTGGAACTAGGTGTTGGCTATTACCTGGTCATTGGCTGTGCACCATTGGACCCATTTTTCTCTGCATTCATTGTGGGTTCCTAGTCTGAATTTGCCAGCTATCTTCCCTGCTTTTCTCTCCTTGCTTACTTTAGCATTCAGGTTTCCCATGATAATTATAACTTATGATTTGCAATGAGCCTTGACATTGTTTAGCATGGAGTAGAAAGATTTGATTTCTTTTTCCGTACTTTGTGCTGTTGGTGCATCCACCATTATAATAGACATGTTGAAAGGCTTTCCTTTCAGTTTAACTACAGGAATTCTTTCAGATAATTGACAGTATCCCAAAACTCACTTCTTGATGTCTTGATCTTGTATCAATCCAACTCCTTTTTAATTTTTCTCTCTGCCTGCATATATAATCCTATGGTTGTCACTGACAAAATCTCCATTGTTTGGCCACCTTTATTTTTCCTTATTAAAAATTAAAATGCGCCTCAGTTTTAGTTATTCTAGAAGTGTGCCCTGAAGTAAAAATGGTTGAGAAACACTGCATTAAACTGAAAGAAGTGTTTGAGTAACATAATTAACTGAATTAATCATTGACCAAACATTTTCTAGTTGAAGACCCCGAAGGAAGATCCATGGATACAATGCCCAAAATATAAAAACAACCAAGATGAGGAAATAAGTCTGAAAGAAACATTTCTAAAGTTTGAACTGAAACTGTTTTCTCATTCTTGCTTCCTCTTTGTTGTAACATATTTTAAAGACTTGAACAGATTAAAATAAATGAAGGCTATGGGATAAATTATTACATCCTAACTCTTTTATTCTCAATTTATGAACTTGTGACTTTTCATTTTTCTCTTAGTGTTTTTTCCTCATAGACAGGTTAAAAGAATAACCACTTATAATAAGATAATCATTGTTATTATTATTTATTGTTGTTATTAGTCAGCATATGCACCATAATAATTGCTTTACTAGACCAAGCTCATGTTCCCCCTCCACCTCACCCCATAACACTAAATTTCTAGTGAGTCACCCTCAGCAACCTATCATCATCTCTTAGTTTGTGGCTGCTGCTGCTTTTCTTAATGAAAAGTGGTGGTAGCTTTCCATCCTATACACAATTCCAATCTTTGTGCAATCTTTGCCAATGTTTCATTCAAACAGTATTTTGTGCTTTCTTACACAAGGTGATTATTGTAGAAATTCAGATATTATCCTATTATTGTGATAAAGCTGTCATTGAAAAATGTTTTTTTTTTTTTTGTTTCATCTCAAGATATGTTTTGATTCATATATAAGCCATCCTCAGGTGACATGGCATTCAGTTTGGCTAATTGATAAGCAGCAACAAGTGCAAAATGATATAGCTATAAGTATAATTGTAAAAAAGTGGATAAAGAATAAATGAAAGATGATGGCAACAACAAAGTTTGCAAATTCTCTAGCATTCTTATATTTCTTTCACTCACTTGACATGATATGACCTGAACTTTATGAAGTACTTTATGAATATCTTGTTAATTATATGCAGTGTTCTGACTTATCTATAGCTTAAGAAAAGGCATTCTTTTACTTAATAAATTAAGTACCTTCTAAAGCAAGTGTACCAATTTTTGCCTAGAATAGTTAATCCATGTAACAGGCTGAAAACATTCTGGAATTGAGTTATGTTTGAAGTTTTTATTCCTAAATAGAAGATTGGCCCACTGAAGAGAATATTAAAAAAAGAATTGTGAGAGGGTTTTTTTTCCTCTTTTCTCCCCCATTCTCTGCATAACCTATAACCTGGCCAAACAGTTGATAACAGGACAGGAGTTTTTTTATTACACTACAATGATTGTATTTCCAAATCTATATCCTCTTGGTGTTGCTTTAAATTTTTTCTCTCTTTTTTATCTTCTCCATATATCTAAACGATGTTTCACTGATAATTGTTGGAAAATATTCAAGTCTTCATCTGGAATAAAAAATAAAATAAACATTAAGCAACATGGTCACAATATATGTTTAAAAATGGATCATCAGTATAAACTGATGTCAGGAGGATATAGTTTAATTTACCTACTTTCAATTTCGTTCTCATGATTGTTAAGCAACCTTATAAAATAGTCATATATCTTAGTACAGGATAATTTTCTCTGGTAACTTTAAAAAGGGATATTGGTAAATTAGACTAGAAAAATTCTAAGAAACAAATTCTAGTTTTTTATAATAAAACAGACATATTGAATTTTGCTTAAGAATCTCTTTTTCTGTCAATGAGCTGCTGATTATACCAATCAACAATCAAGGCAGCTGATGTGATATGTAGTTTTTAACTGTTGCTTAAAACTTTACTATAGTTAATATTTTAAGGAATAATTTTATGTATGTTTAACCTTAAATAAATATCTTGTATTGCACAATATTTTCTAACCGGTATATTCTCTAAATAAATTAATAGCTACCTGGTTTTAAATTCTTCACTTTGTTTTTGTTATAACTTCAAATACTGTTTTCATTTTCACTTTGGGCTTAAATTTGAAACCATTTTAAAATGCTTGTAATTGAACAAATAGGATTACTGCAAAAGAAATCAATGAATGCAATTTAAGCAACTCTTTGGTCTTTGTGTAATGTGTGTGGTAACATTGTTTTACATTGCCTTGAAGACAAATGTTTGCTGAGGGATATTGGGGAAAAAGGCAATACTGAAAAATCTCTCAAAGTAGAACTGGGGGGAAAAAGCTGATTGTTCTGTTTGTAAACATCTTTACTATGCTGTGTCATCAAGCAACCATCTCTTTTCTTTTTTTTTTTTTATCCATGGAATTATGCATATTTGATTGTAATTATTTTATGTAATCATTATATAATTAAAACACCTTGTTTATATTATGTGTAATAAAAGGCTACATTATTGAATACTTATAGATAAAACTCTTTTGTTGCAAACTGAGAAATTTAAAGTATCTGCACTCAAAACAGTATTTTTTTATGTATTTGTGTTGAAACGTGATTTTCAGTAATTATCTTGTAAGTATTTCTGCAATTTCTTCAGTCAAATTTTTATTTTTCATTCCACTCTTCCTATTTTAAGGAAACTTAAATTCTATATCTAAATTAAATTTATTTTGACTGAAGATATTTTATTTTTAACATATTCAGAGCATATATAAAATATGCAGTAAGTAATGAATGGTTTTAGAGTCTGAGGGTTTTGAGTTCAACTATTGTCTTACTTGAACTCAAAACCTTCAGACTAGATTTCAGGTAAATGAATCTGAATCTGTTATAAATCTTGAAATTTCTTATCTAAAACAATTCATTACTTACTAATATAACACAGGCTTATGGCCATATAGCATTGAAACCCTGATTCCCATATGATCACTGAAGTTAAGCAACATTGAGCCTGGTCAGTACCTAGATGGGTGACCACTTGGGAATACCAGGTGCTGTAAGCTTTGATGTGCAGGTAGTGTAATGGATAATAGCTTGGAATTCTTAATTGGAGAGTTGATTTCCAATTTCAGTTTGGTTCATTATATTAGCTTACAAGCATATACACTTAGGGAGGGTATGAATCCACCTCTTCTCCTCCCAGCTATGGGTTAGTTAGTAAGACTTTTATCACTAAATCAGTATCTCAAAAAAAAAAAATCCTTATAGGTTAAAAATATTTTCTGGCTTTAAATACCCTGCAAGTGTTGAAAACTAGTTAATCAGTAATGTAATGCAGCTTTTGTTTTTTGATCTATGATGGGAAATATTTTATGAAAAAAATATTGAGTATTTTGATATTTCCAATAGAAAACATGATAGAAAAGAATCCTGAGGAGTAATGAAGTAAGGTTTTGATTTTTGTTTATTTTTATAACCTTTCCACTCCTAATTATCTCTGATGTATAAATATCAACATTCATGTACAGGTAAGAAATAGTTTAAATATTTAAAAAAAAAAAAAGCCAAAACATTTGAAATCTTGACAAATACAGCTTCATTTTGATCTACTATTAGTAATTCTCTTGAGAACTCTCTACTCAGCTCACCTGACAAAATTGACCACTAGTGTCCTGAGATTTTTCTTTCCTTCCCTCTTCCAAATGTTTCATTGAGTGCAGATATTGCAATCCTGTTGAAAGCCATCATGTCAATTTTGGTTGATTCCATTTTTATTTCAATATTTTAATTATTTTTATTTATATGCATTGTTACCTAAATAAATAATCTTGAGTTTTTGATAGAACATATAACAGGGGTGGCCAAACTTGATTAAGAGCCACATGTGATAAAGTTTAAATGTTTGAGAGCCACAAGACATGAACAAATTTTACACATGTGACACATGGCAGATAAGGCACAAAGGTTTACCTCCTTTAACAGTAAATGCAAAATCTTCCTCCCACTCTGGCTTAAAATTTCTGTTTCTATCTTCATATTTTTGTTTCTTACAATTTGAGGAAGCCATCTTCCTTCACAAAATTTTCAGACATGTTTAAACAAAACTTGTATCCAAAATGTATCAACTAGGTCTGCACAATTCAATGTCTTGTGTTACACTGCATTAATGTACATAAGTGCAATCCCCTTAATCCCGACTTCAGTCTTCTGACATTCCTTTGTAACCCTTGCTGACCAGAAATTTCTTTAATCCCTCTGCTTCCCACCATTCATTCATTAAAGAGCAATGCCTCATTCAGTTCTAGCATTAAAATTAGGATTTAAATTCTTAAATATTTTTACTAACCATGAACATTAAACATAGGTTTTAATCCAATGGGGTCTTAATTCATACCCAATAAATAATTATAAAGCTTAAAATTTTTCATATTTACCTTATTATATTAACTGTGATTGGGGGTGGGGAAGAGCTCAGTCAACATATTTCCACAAGCTGCATATTAAAGGTTAAAGAACCGCATGTGGTTAGTTTGGCCACCCCCTGACATATAACCATCTAATAAAGTAAGAATTCATTTTCTTTGGAAGAAAATACAGAATGTGCGTCTTTGCTTGTAGGACTTAACACTCGTAGCATAGTTGATGTAATAATTTTGCTGAAGATGTTCGTTGGAATTAATAAGTTACTGTAAGATTTTCTTTTTGGGGAGAAAACTTGAAATCTGTAGCTGGATAGATTTTTACAACTTTTTTTTTATTTTTTATTTTTTTTTAAACTAGATGTCTTTGTATTAGCAATATATATAAAAGTTTTGTAAAATCAAGAGATCATCATACCTTTCTTTTTACTTTGGCCATTTTTTGGTGAAACCAGGTTGCAAATGGCTATTTTCAATGTATCTAATCAATTGAAGTGGAGGTGGCTATTATGTCAGGTGATATCTTCACTGCACAATTGATCTAATGCTTGTCAAACGAGCAAAGTGACTTGACAGTCACTAGTTTGTATTTTATTACATTTTTTTTTTTTTTTTTTTTTTTTGTTCATTCTATTCATGTTATACATCAAAGAGAATTTATTTTAAAATTCTGTTTGCACATTAAATTATCTTGCCATTCTCTTGATTTTCAGGTTCAGATTAAAAATATTTTTCATTGGAAATTTTATAGGATGGAAGAGATTGCATAAAAAAAAAAAATTTCTATTGAAATACATATCACACTAAACTATGTTGTTGGATGTTTACTTTTGACTACAGCTGATTTGTAAGAAGCTGACATCATCGATTTTAATAGGTGCCAACCATGCAAGTTAAAAACCTTACCTCTTTCACAATGAAACCTTACAACCTTTTGCAGAATAGATATAAATAGTAATTGTGAGATTAGCTGTTTCCAGACAGGAAACATTTGGCATTCATTGACCAAACAGTTAACATTATTGTCAGTTGAAATTTATAAAATCTGTTTTTCAGGAAAATAGGTTTTTCAAGTCCACTGTTATTTCTCTTTTTTTTTTTTTTTTTTTTTTTTTTTTTTTTTTAAAGGTAGTGCGGCAAGTCAACATCTTCATTGTTGTTATTATCCATTTTAGTTGCTGCTTCTTTTGGAAGCCTTCATTGTTTAAAGGTTGGCAAATACTGTTTGTGAATTAGTGATCTTTAACAAATAGGCAGAATATTTTTATGCAAAAGTAATCATGATTCTGATAGTTGCTATTTGTCATTAAAAGTAGTAACTTTGTCTTCAAAGATATTTTATATCCCAGAATTTGGCACTCTTTTGTGGAATTTTAGTAATTCTTACAGCTCTGGCTTTTTGTCTTTTTAAACTTATTTGATATAAACAGTCACTCACATACATGTATAATCAAATATGTGAGTTTATAAGCACACACACACACACATCAATATTATCTTATTTTTCATAAATTTGTTTATTAGGATTAGGATTTCTAATGTTTGGCAAGTTTATATTATTGTTTAAAATCTTGTGTATGCAAACTTTTTGACTGTGCTACTCTCGTTTCTTTCCTTCTTTTTTTATATGAATTGGGATGCAATAAATGAAACTTGTTTTTAGCTTGAGCATTTTTATAACCGGATTCTTTTTGAGTTATTGTAAATAAAATCATGTTTGCCTTTGAAGATCAGCTATTTCAAGCTTGACAAGATGGCTGTTAGTACACAAGGCATTTTTGAATGAGTTAAGGAACTATGGCATTCCTTGGTTATTATTTTGTGGTGTTGGGGGTATATGTTATCTTTCCAATTGCAAAAAGAAATAAACTCTTTTTGTTAAATCTGCAGCATTCAGGTAAGAAAGAAACTTAGTTAGGAAACAACAACATAGTTAAACTTATTGGCTTGTATTCTAAAAATTTAGCACTTGAGAAAAATCAGGAAAACATCTGATCAATTATTGATTAAATATCGATCAGTTTGTTTTCAGTTTGCTTGTGTGGTGCTGTCAGTTATTGATATTTTATATTGGTGAAACATTATGCTTTGTACTACTTAATTCTGCACTACTTTGACCAGCCAATGAAGAATGGCTCCTGTAATAGCCACAAAATCAATATGCCAGTGCATTTCAATTATGCAATGAAAATTTATTTGAATTTAGTTAAAGGAAGAAAGGTAAAAAGTTATCTTGTAGATTTCAGTTTGCAGGAAATCAGAATGTATAATGTAAGATATACATTTTGGAATAGATATTTTAAATGTATTTAAACTGAGAATATATTTTAGGAGGCAATGATTCTTGTAAATATTCTAGATTGACCTGTGGTAAGTATTGTAATCAGTACAAGCAAATTTCAAGTAATAATTTTAATTGCTTACAAAATGGACAGACACATTGTTTTGTTAAGCATAAAAGTTGAAATAGAATGAAACTGAAAAACATGATAATATCACTCCAAAGTATGAGATTTGTCATAGTGGTTCTTTGTTTTATTTCCTTTTGCTACCTTTTGGAACTTTTTTTTTTATTACGATCTTAAATCTCCTTCTTGGGTTCTCATCAGTGAAGGATGAGGAAGGCTTAATGAGAGTAACTAAATATTTTCCTACTTTCAATAATGAATAGTCCTATTTCTCTGATTTATAAGACTTTGTTTGTTGCAAGAAATACTTTTAACTGATAACCTATTGTCTAACAGCTTTTTAATTATCCAAACCTGCTGTTTTCTATCCCATTTGTAGCATGCTGTACAAATACCATTAATTGACATTTTTGTAATTTACTGTTTTTTTTTGGTACAGCTTAATTAACACAACAAAAATTTGATGGTTTCTTAAATGGGATGCTTGAAAAAAAGAAATCACAAATGGAAACAAGCATTCATTGTATTTGAAGACCAGACTTTTCATTGCTTTGTTGGATAAGCTGACATTGAAAAAAAATTTTTTTTTTTTTTTTTTGCCTTGATTCATTAACTTCACATTTGAAAGACCACTCCTAATTAGGACTTTTTCCCCCTGCTTAATTATTGATAACAAGAGATAGAGACCTGCATCCCTCACCTTCATGAAACATTTAAGTGTTGAATTTTAAATCTATATTGTTTATAGACATAAGATTTACATTGGTATGGTAAGTTCTTCTCACTACAAGATGTTTATTTGGCTACAAGAATATTGCCCATAATATAAAGTTGTTTTAATTTTGGGAATATATTATAGCCATTGTGGTTAATATCAGATTTTGACATTTTTGGTCATCCATACTTCAGCTGAGACATTCATAAACTTAAGCAAGCTTTTATCACATATGAGTAAAGAAAGCTAAAAATGGTGTGGGATTTTTACATTACAACACAAATGGCTATTTTGGTATATTTTTATAAGGAAAATAAATGTCTGTTGCTAAAGGAAGAGCTTTTTTATATTTTGAAAGTCTTCTCAGTCATGAAACTTTAGACAATCATTTTATGTTCTAACAACTGATTTTTGTAACCAGTTTCTTTTGGGATGCTTGAAATTAGTTTGAATTATTTTTATTAAAAAAAAAAAAAAAAATGATGAGTTTGAGTTTACATTTCATGAGCCGGAATAATA